GAAGTTCTTCGAGCGGCGGATCGAGAAGTACGGGAGCACGGTGTTCCGGACGAACGTGCCGCCGGCGTTCCCGCTGTTCACCGGCGTGAACCCGAACGTGGTGGCGGTGCTGGACGTGCGGTCGTTCGGGCACCTTTTTGATATGGAGCTGGTCGAGAAGACCGACGTGCTGGTGGGCGAGTTCATGCCCAGCCTCAAGTTCACCGGCGGACTCAGGGTCTGCGCCTACCTCGACACGGCGGAGGCCAAACACGCACAGGTGTGTACCTCTCTGCGTGTGTAAATTATTATCATTATTGGGAAATGCCACGGTCCTGTTACGGCATCATCCCGTCGGGAGTTTTAACTGCTGGATACACATGTAGTTAGTACAAGATAAATGGTCAGGAGTTTTAACTGCTGGATACACATGTAGTTAGTACAAGATAAATGATCAAATGGTTAAAACAGTTAGTACAAGATAAATGATCCAACGGTTAAAACAATACCGTAATGTAATCATAACATTTCCCCATCATTATTAGTCAACATTTCAAATCAACTTATGATAATAATTTTAATTTAACTTATTTAATCCCATAAGGATGGTATTAGTCAAGCATAACTATTTAACAAATTTTCTTTGTTTCAACATTGGACACTTACAGTTAGAATGTCACATTTAAATAAACAAAATATACCAAAGTTTAACATAAATATATATTTTTATTAATAAATTACTAAGTGTGAAACTTTTCTACATTCGTTTTGGGAAGTTGCACATTAATTAAGAATATTTTTTTGTCAATAATAACATTATTTAATGAAGATACAAATGAATATTGAGAAGTTGTACATTAATTAAGAATATTTTTTTGTCAATAATAACCTTATTTAATGAAGATATAGATGAATGTTTTAAGAAAAAATGAAGAAAGAATATGAAAAGACTGATGTATTTATTAGCTAAATGAGGGTAATAATAAAAAAATATGTACAAAAAATCCAAAATGACATTTATTTGGTTAATAGTTGATAAAACCAAAATGACATTTAAAAAAATAGGAGGGAGTACAATTTTTAATTCGATATGAGTTTGCCACTTATTAGCATTATAGGTAGTTGTTGTAATAGTGTGGTGTTAATTAATATTATTAAATGTGAGTAATTGGCCTATAACTTTTGAAATTAAGAAAAATTAACTTCACCTAATTAATAATTTAAAGGGGTGGTTAACTTCAAAATTGGAGGATTTCAAATGACTAATGATAATATTGAACTTTAACATTCCTAAATGGAATATCCTCTAAAACAGTGGTGATGGATAAGGCATGAATAAAATGTAGAAATAAATAGTTAAAATATATATTCATTTTCCAATATTTTAGATTTTGTGTTTTCAATACAACCATTTCCT